GAAGAAATGATTGGGTTGTGAGAGACTTAACCCAATCAGTGAAATATCCCCTGAAGGGATAAACCGAATGGTAACTGAAGGCAAGTAGGGTGTGGCTGGAGGAGGTGGGTATTGGGGGGCATGGCTTTGGAGTATGTATTTGAATCTGGCAGGTGGAGTCTCTCTCTCTCTGCTGCCTGATMATTACATGAGCTGCTTCCCTCCACCACAGTCTTCCACCATGATGTTCTGCCTCAACTCAAGCCCTGAGGGATGGAGCTTCTGCCTATAGATTAAGACCCTCTGAAACTGTGAGCCCTTAAATAAACTTTTCCTCCTCTGCAGTTGTTTTGGTTGGGTCTTTTAGTCACGGCAGTGAAAAAACTGATAAGGACAGACATGATTTCTGTCCTCAATGGACTCATGATGCAGGAGGGATGAAGTGAAGGGGACCGACCAAATCTCAGTAAGTAATTCAATGCAACAACATTTATTAAATATCTGTTAGTYGTTAAAGCATACTGAGTGATTGCAGAACTCAATGAATTGGTTTTCCCCTCACCATTCTATAGGTGAGAAGACTGAAGCATAATAGAGCAAAGGACTCACTGGAGGTGCCATAGCTGGTCAGGAAGCCGGGATTTAACTCAGATCTGCCTCAAAGAATGTGTTACCACCTCAGTCCTCAAAGGCTAATTCATAAGGTTCAGGCCGTGTGCCAGCTGCTGAGATGACAGAACTGCAGGAAATGTGAATTTAGCCAAAGCTTTTGGGGAAAGCAAAGTGCAGTGGTTTCCATGGATACATTAAGAGAAAATGATGGTCCATTGTGATTGTTGCAAAGAGAGGTATAGGGGTACCCCAGAAAGACTGATGACCTGTCGTGGGGAAGGAAGGCTTCCCAGCAGAGGTGTGCATTCACTTGGAGCAGCTGACAGGCCAGCTCCCTGAGAACTGTCTGCTGGAGCATGGTTTGTCCTAGCAATATGTAGAAATGTTCCCAATCGAGTTCACATCCAAAAATGTTTCCTCTAACCTTCCAAACAAAGGTAAAGGGTGAGTATTTCTTTCTTTTAACAGATGATGACAGAGGATCAGAGATGCAGAATGCTACTTAGACAGCCCCAGTAAATGGTCCTGGAGATAGTCATGCCCACATGTGGCTCTGAAGAGTAGACATCATCTTTTGGCACTGGTGGGTGATTTCCCCCATGAGAGCTGCAGGCTGACCCAATCATGAGCTCTCTGTAGACCTGGATCCAAGGGAGGAGACACCAGGTGGAAGTTAGAGCCCCAGCTAAGGCAGTTTCCCTTCTTGTGGGGAACTTGCAGAAGGCGTTAGCTCTCTGGGAGATGCTTAGCATGTGGGTTGGGTCATCCCTGGCGTAGTTGTCTTCCTGGCTAAGGGGAAGGTGACAAAGGGTTAGACAGTGAGATCATGGCAGGGGTTTTCTGGGCACCGAGTTGCTCTAGACAATGAGTGCTCATCAGAGAGGCAAGGGGAAAGCTAGAGGGCAGCAAGGTCCCAAGGGAGGGAGGGACTCGGCGGGGACTTGGAGGGCTGCTGGGAAGTTGGGTGAGTGGGACTGACTTTCCAACACACATACTGTTTTCTCATCAAGTTAGGTTCAATTACCCCTTTTGGTAAGTGAGGATCCTGGGATGCAAAGATAAGAAAATGTACCAAAATCCCACAGGAAATAAGAGGGGAGCTCACATTCAACAGGTCCCACCTGTCTCTATGCTACAGCCTGAGCTTTTACCTCCTGCCTCTGTTAGGCTTTTAGGGATGAAGCCTATGGAAAATAGCTGTGGAAAGTTGTCATCATATTAGAGGAGATGGAGATTCTGTGGAGAGAGCAAGTGAGGGCCATTGGAGGTGGCTCACGCAGCCCAGAAACATCCCAAGCAAACTTCTTGTACCTTTAGTTAAGTGCAGTTTTTGGAGTCAGAAATATGGGTGATTCCCTTCAAAAGAAAGGACCAGAGATTTTTCATAAATGCTTTCTACAAAATAAGTCATCCATCGATTAATTAAATATTCCATAATTGCAGGGTGCCTGGCCTCCACCCACCGGGGCTTACTTCTGGTGATGCAGGTCCCCAGGAAGTTCATGTGGGTGACAGGGAAGAAGAGGAGCCACTGTGGGAGGAATGACAGGTCTGGGAGGCACAGGGCAGGGGTGATTAGCTGATGCTGCTCAGAGCAGAAGTCCAAAAAGCTCTGGAGAACACAGAGCTTGCAGCCCATGTTGGATGAGGCCTGTAGGGTACAGATCAGGTGTGACTCCCCAGAAAATGAGGGTTCAGCAGGGCTAGGGGACTTGGGACAGCCTGCATCTGTAAGGACATGGAGCTTGGACTTTGGTTTTTATGAAAGCACAAAGATGATAGGTCTGAATGGTTAATAAATTCACAAAAACTAAGGCGGCAAATGGAGCACATTTCCTCATGCACCTAAACCTGTCAGGGGCACAGACTGAATGGGAGGGAGATGGGCAATAAGGGCAGGAGGAAACAGAAACACAGAGAGCAGGGGTGCTCAGGGACAGGGGCCTAAGAAGATTGGAAGGCTGTGAGCAACACCCCATGGACCAGAGTCCCTCGACTCAGGTGGGTGCCTTGCAAAAAGGGACAAAGGTGCCCGGAGGGTGAGCAGAAAGACTCCTGGTTCACAGAGGCAGAGTTTCAGGTTTGGAAGGGATGCCAAGGGTGCCTCCTGCCCTTCCATTCATTCAATGTTGGAACTCCTGTCCAAAACATGGTCTTCAGCTCCGCTTGCTTCGGTCCAGGGATGGGGACCTTGCCCTCTCAGGTGCCAGCATGCCCCCCCTGGGATAGCTCTGCTTGTCAGGAAAGCCACCTGAACTTTCAGCTACGATTGGCTTTCTTGTTCTGCCACCCACTGCTTCTAGTTCCATGATATGGCCTCCACAGTGCAGGATGGCCCTCTGCCACGCTGTGACCCCTGGGAGTCCCGTTCCATGTTCTGTGGTTTCTTTTCTCCAGGCTGTACATTTTGTGGTTTGTGGAGAACAGGCTGTCACCTGCTTTCAGTTACTCCTTGGTGTACAGAACAGCAGTTTTCAGGCTATAACTAACCCTGAGTTATTTCATTTTATAATGAGCTACTCCTTTTATGAGCTACTCCATTTTGGGTTTAAGTGCTGAAGTAGAACGGCTCTACACCTTATTTGTACAAGTAAAAAACCACCATCTGCCTAGCACAACCATAAGGCACAAACTGAGAAATTAATTGTGCCAATAAAAATGACCACCTGTGAAATTAATGACTTAATCAAAAGCACGTGGATATGCAGGGGTGTATCAAACTCATAACAGAAAAACCAKACCCATGAGCTTATYGAACACACCAGACCACCAAATGAAGCAAACCCCTCACTGGAGGTCCATCTGAGATTGGCTACAACAGCACCCCGACCCCATCACCCAGTCACTGATCATGAGCCTTGCCCAGGAAAATCACTACAGTGACAAACTTTCCCATCTTTGTCCTTGGGTTTCAGCACAGCGCAGTTTCTCCTGTCCATGATGACAACAGTACATGGCCACTCCAAATGACCCTCTCAGAGACTGATGTCCATCTGGAGCTTGGCCTAGAATAAGTTCCTGTGCTTTGACAGCTCTGTGCCCTGAATAAGTTCTTCAGCCTGGTTCATAATTTTATGTGACCACCTTCAGTGACTCTTGACATTCCTATCTGCTCTCTGCCAACGCTTTCAGGTCAGCCACCTGAATACCTGCAGCTCCCTTGCCCCTTTCTTAGCCTTTCTGTAACACATGTAACATGTGATGTGTGTTGAGTGTTACAGATATCAGCAGTTACAGTTGGAATAAAAGAACTGGTGATTGCCTGGCTTATTAGGTGACCCGTGAGTACTTACTGCTACTGCTGAAAGTGGTGTAGCCWGTGGATTTGTTGCTATTCAATAAGTTCTGACATTGTGGAAAGACACARACATGTTTGTCTATGTTAACAACATAGATTGCTCATGACAGGGTCCTGAGTTGCTCCTAATGAAATGGGATTTCAGATCCCCTAATTAACCTTATCTTGAAACATGAGGGTTTGCATTTATTTCTCTCATAGCAGGAGATACAGAACTCATAACAATGCTCTAGATACAATCATTTTAGCTTCACAGAAGCTCTGTTAGGGTAAGAGCTGGGATTCTTAAGTATGTGTGAGATGAGGGAGATGGATAGTGATGAAATACCCTAATTGTCTTTTTTTTTTTTTTAATATAGATTGTGGCAAAATCACAAGTACCCCTACTGAAAAACCTTCATTGGCTCCTTAGTGCTGCCTGAATCACTATAGAGGTTACCTTCTGAGTGGCAGTTTGAGGTTCTAAATATAAATTCTAGAAGTAGCAGTGGATTTAGATATTGAAGATCTGGGGGTTTTCCTTCCTGGCTCAGGTTCCCAGGAGTCCCAAAGGGTTGAGATACACAGGACACCACTGTCCTTAACGTGGTGTGCCTCCTGGGTTCTCTGCAAATCCTGCTACACATGACACATGACCTTTTCCAACAATGTCTTGCTCACAACTGGACCCTTACATACCCCAAAGGCCCTGCCAACCCTTCTCCTATTATAGTCCTTCCGAAACTTCACCACTTTCAAGTTGGAATGGGCAAGTCTCCTCAATCAATCAATCAATCATCAATCAATGACACTGTCCTCTATCTTGACCAAGTATAGTAAAGCCTTGTCTGGAGTCAAGGAGCARCTGAAACCCTGAGTTCCTTGGGCAGGGTGGCTTGCATGGTTTGAACCACTACCATACACACAGGACCAGGTCTTATCCAGACTCACCCCCATCCCCTTCACCCCTCCCATTCCTGCCTCATGCCTTTTTCCCCAGGCCCCACGGAGGAGTTGGCAGCAAAGCCACCTGGGCTGCCATACTCATTCCAGAAGAAGAGTGCCCTCCACAGGCCGCAGGCACAGTGTGGGTACCAATCCAGCAACAGAGGGAAGATGTACTTACACTTACAGGTTGACTTTTTGGCACATCATAAACACCTTCCTTCTTTTGGCTGGTGGGAACCTATAGAAAAATCAAATTCAACATAATCAAAACACTCTGGTATTCCTTTTTTCACAGAACAAAGCAGSCAGATTTCAACTGCAAGCTGGCTAAGTATGTGTGAGATGGCCCCAACCCCAAGGGACTAGCTGTGAAAGCATCAAGCCAGGCTCTTCCCCAAGGAAAACCAGCTGGAGGGAAGGGGGTCAGGAAGGAGTGCTGGCAGGGCAGCTCTGCTCTGGGGCTTCCCACAGAATTATAGAACTGGAAGCCGCAGGACGTCAGGAAAAAATAATCCTCATTTCACTAAAGACAAAAACTAGGCCCAGGGAGGTGACATAATTTGCCTGAAGTGATTAAAAACAGTTTGTAGCTGAGTTTACACTGTTCAATGCTACGACTAAGACCCAGGCTGTAAAAATACTGTTGATACCAGGATCCTAGCACAGATAGAGCTTCTTTGGGGATCATGTACAAACCATCTGATAATCACCGAAGGCTTCATTCAGGAAAAGGCCACACATGGCACAGAAAGCCTGGCTCTAGGATCCTGAAGATCCTGATGGCTTTTAACATTTGCCTATATCTTCCTCCCTCCCTCCCTTGCTCATCCATCTGGTCTTCTTGGGCCACATGTATTAAGCATATTACCCTGAGCAGGTCATTTAGTTCCTCTGAGTTCACTGTTTTCAAATGGGCTCTATCAGCTCTGCCTCATGCTCAGGTTATTGTAAGGATCAAATGAGAAAATGGCTCTTTGATAAATAAAAACTATTAGGCACCATGACACTGTAATGTGTTAGCATGACCATTTCTTTTGCACTCATACATTCTGTATGTATGAGCATATTTTATGACATTAACAATAATGCATCCAATACTTTTCCAATCCAGGACTTTGAATGGATACATTCCAGGTTGGAAGCCACCATTAGCTGTTTCTTCCCCAGCAACTGCCAGAGCTTAGCCCACRCCTCCCCTTCAGGGACCAAGCAGCAGTGGATTTCTAATGGTTTGATTGTGTGTCTTTTTTAACCAGGCTGGGGCTCATCAAGAGCAGCCTTGTAGTCTCATCCCCAATAGGCACTCTGTAAGCATCAGCTGTGTCAATATACCAGAGGAACRTGGGGGAGAGTGAAGAAAGGAAAGGTATTTGTGAGGCACAGACCTGTTARCCATACTCATGTAAGAGAACATGAGCTTATAGTTTCCAGTTCCTTGGTCATTTTCATTCTCGTTTATCTTAAAATTCTTATAATAGGCCCAAGAAATTGGTCTTATCATCTCTCTTTAAAATTATAGAAAGTGAGGCTTAGAGATGTTAGGGATTTTGCCTAAAGCTTCAAAGCCTGGTGGGGTTCAAACTCAAACCCAGCCCTTGCTGACTAAGACCTTTCCTTCCTTCCTTCCTCCCTCCGTCCCTCCCTTCCTTCCTTCCTCCCTCCCTCCCTTTTTTTTTTCTTTCTTTTTTTTTCCTGGTACCAGGGATTGAACCCAGGGGCACTTATATCTGAGCCACATCCACAGCCCTTATTTATTTTGAGACAGGGTTTTCCATTAAGCTGCTGAGGTTGGCTTTGAACTTGCAATTCTCCTGTCTCAGCCTCCTGAGCTTCTGGGATTGCAGGCATGAGTTATCATGTCTGGCAAGACCTCAATAGTATGCACTAACATAGCCTGGGCACTTTTTGTGTGCTGGGCACTGTTCTAAGCATTTGTGTTTTACACACATTCTCAAGGAAAGCGCTGGTCAAGTCTATCAGGACTCCAACTGTCCTGGTGATGCAGAAGAGGAAAACGAGGTTGAGAGAGAATACAGTGGTCACTGTCAGAGGAAGCCAGGAGCTGGAGCCTGGGGAGTTTACTTTTGCTTACTGCAGTATACAGTGTGTGTGTGTGTGTGTGTGTGTGTGTGTGTGTGTGTGTGTGTGCGTGTATGCAGAGGGGCTACTTCAGGGGCATCTTCTTTGATATCACATCCTAAGTTCCCAGAGGTTCATGTGCATTCTTGCAGAAAACAGAACTGTTGAGTGAGCACGGCTGTGAGGAAGATACCCTTCCAGAGGCACTTTTGCTAACCTCAGTTTGCAGGGAGCCAACAAAGAATGTAATTTTTGTTTTTTCTCCCAATAACTGGGCTCCATTGAAAAGGAATCCTCTCAGAATATCTATGGAGTCCTTGCAAATGAGGGCCAATAAATTACCAGCCCTCACTTTTGTTTTCACTAGCTCACTCTTTACTGAGCAAAATGAACAGTATTCTGTTCCCCGTAATTCACTGCTCACTACGGGCACTTAGCACAGTTGAACCGCGGCTTGCCTCTCAATTATCCCTGCAAATGGAGAAGAAGCCATGCGATGGATAAACCCAAACTGTGCATAATTGAAAAAGCTTTCCTACTTGGCTCTCCCATGGGTGAGATATCAATCTGCCTGTTTGTCCTTTAAGATTTATCTCAGCTGGGACATCTCAGAAGACTTTCCTGCCCTCCCTAGGCCTGGTTTGCAGCCCTGTTCTGTACTTTTGTAAGCTCAGGTGCATTTTCTCATTAAAAAAATAAGAGCTACCAAGAATCTGTTATGTATCATGTGCTGTGCCTTTCCTGGGAGAAGGACGGTGAACAAGACGGATGTGAGCCTTGATTTGATTTAGTGAAGGTCCTTGTCTTATTTGGGGAGATGGAACAGTTATCAGTCTACTAATGTAGAGTGAATGTAAAATATGCTTCATCTTTTYCAGGGAAGTTACTATATCACACTGCAACTGTTCCTGGTTCTGTGATCCCACAACTCTGTTAGCTGCTCAGGGCAGGGTGGATACTTTATTTTCCTTGTATTCCTATCTGCAAATATCGGCTAAACAAAGAACCATCTAATTATTCAGAATGGATTGCAWGGGTGCCGAGGTCTGTGGTCCTGGCTCTCATCTCTATGTGTGTGGTCCATTCTATCTATACAGACCACCGTGGTACCAAAATGTGGCAGAAGGGACAAATTGATCTGGTTTCTAATCCTGTCTGTGTTACAGGCTATTCAACTCAGATCACTTCTCTCTCTGAACCTCTGTGTTTCCTTATCTGGTTCTCAAGAGCATCTAAGCTTTATCAATTAACCCCTTTAGGATAGAAACCATGCTGTGGTCACTATTTCTTCCTCAGGGGCCTGGCACATGCTAGGTGCCCATAAATACTATTCTGAATGAAGGAGTTCATTGATGTTAAATTACTCTAAAAACTACATATTGAGTACTGTACACAGAGGATACTTTTACTTCTGCAATGTGTTCATTAATAAGCATGGAGAGGCAGTTCAACATGTATTGGGTGACATAAGACCAGAGCCTGACCATTTTAAAATGATGAAACTTGACACATGTGTAGTGATTAACAATGATTTCTGAATAAATGAACTTGAAAAATTCATTGATCTCAAATTATAAGGAGGAAGATCTTGCTTATGTAGGCAGTTTGCTAAGGTACTCAAGAACAGGTACTTAGAATTGGAGATCCTGATCTTGGTGGAATGGTTTTTCTTAGGTTGAAAATGACAGTCATGGTAGCTGTTCTTCCTATCTCATGGAGTCAGTGGAAGAGCTGAAATTAAGAGGTGTAAAGGGTGCTATGTATAATAAAAAACATTTTTAATTTCAATTAAATGTATAGAATCTTAAATGACCAAATATAATGTTATTTCTATCTACCGCTCTGTTTATCACGAGCTCTGGATCACTGTAAAAACAACTGGTTAATTTTCCTGAGGCCCATAGAAGCAAAAGACAATTATAATTACTAATATGGTTGGGAAGATAAGACTCCTGATCTTTGGAAAGAGGTCACATTTACCCCAGAACCTCACCCTTCCTCCGGTTGCATACAAATAGCAAAGTCAAGAGAAGGAGCTGTGTTCTGCTAGGCTTTCTGACAAGAGAAGGTGAGCATATAAGTTCTACTGCACTTAATACATCATCATAAGACATCATCAACAGCATCTGGTATTGACAACCCTGGGAAATGAAGGAAGCATCGCTTACATGGGGGCTACTGTGGACCCAGGGCTCATCTCTACATCATTTCTGAAAGCAGAGAATGCATTATCCCTATTTTATAGCCCAGGAAATTGAGATACAAAAATTATGTACTTCACTCAAGGTCACAAAACAGGTAAAGGGGATGAGGTCCCAGGCCTGTTTGCTTTATTTCAGAAGACTGGGAAGGAAATAAAACCTAAGATCACTGCCAGCCATGCTTGAAGTAGAACAAACACTGCAAAGGACTCGGGAGGAATAGCCGTGCGCCCTTGCAAACGCTTAAGAAAAAAAGAATGAGGCTCCTAATAGCTGCGACTTAAGAGCCCAGCTTATCTCTTGTTAAGTGCGTTGGGTTCAGGCAGACTGGCAGTGCAAGAGAAGAAAATGACCAGGGGCCTTTCCAATAGATGGGGATAAAATATTCATTCCCTTAAATGGTGCTTTTCTGTTAATGATGGACAGATGGGAGATCAGAGGCCAGAGCTGCTAAGACAAGTGTGATTTTTAGATAGTGACTTGAAGCATGCACAGAATCCAAGTATGGAACTCAGAATCAGGGAATTTCTGAGCTGAAAAGAGCCCCAGCATTTATTTATTTACAGAGGTCAGAGAGATCTGCCTCTAGGGATTCAACCTCTCACTAACTCTGTGACCTAGCAGGTCCCTTATCTCTGTCAACTTCACTTCCTTTGTAAGGTCAGGAAATGTCCCCATTTAAGCCACAGGGGGTGTTATGAAAGCTAATAAGATGCTGCATATAAACCCCATTCAGAGAGCCAGCTCACTGTTCATACACATGAGTACCCCATTTCTAAGAGTCCTGCTGCCCTGTTAAGTAAACTAAGATGCATCCCGCAACATCAGTGTACTATGGTGAGGTGTTAGTTGCAAAGGGAAAAAAAGGGCTTTCCCCTAGAGATTGAGCCTTACATGCTCATTTTCCAGATGAGTAAACTGAGATCCAGAGAGGGAAAGGAACTTGGCAAGTTGAGTCAGTGGCTGAGCTGACATGTGTACCAAGACCCTGAAGTCACACAACCAGACCCACGTTCTGTGACCAGGTTGGGGCCTCTTCCTTAACATTCTACACTTGGGGTTAGAATGGCTTGCTTTATTTTCATGCGTCCATATGAGTCTGGGAGAAATCATTCCTCTGCTTTGTAATTGGGGAAACTAAGTCTCTGAGAGGGCAAATATCTCCCCCACTGTCACATATCAAAGATAGTGACAGAGCCAGGACTGCACTGCAGCTCTGTACCACCCTAATCCAGATTTTTCCAGCACACTAGGATAATCTTCTCTCCTAGCACTTGCCCGGCCAGGCTCTCGGAGACTCCCCAAACAGAGCCAAGACTGGATTCAGAAACCTACTGCAAGCCAGACAAGGTGGTGCATGCCTGTAATCCCAGTGGTGTGGGAGGCTGATGCAGAAGGATAGTGAGTTCAAAGCCAGCTTCAGCACCTTGGTGAGGCTTGAGGCAACTTAGTGAGAATTGTCTCAAAATAAAAAATAAAACTGGGCTGGGGATGAGGCTCAGTGGTTAAGTGCCTCTGGGTTCAATACCTGGTACCAAAATAAAAAAGAAAGAAAGAAAGAAACCTACTGCAAAGMCTGCTTTATTTTAAAGGTGCTCTCTCTTCCTGGGATGACTAGCTAATGACTCCTTTGGCCTCACATTCAGACACTGCAAGGTTGCACAGTACTTTAAAATATGACACTGGGGACAATTGTAGCTTTTCTTTTTAAAGAGAGAAACTTTATAAATTATGACTTTAAAACAAAACCTCAAAGCATAACCTCACACTTGAACAGAATCCAGATGAATCCAGTGGAAAGAAACAGATTATTATTCCACAAGGCTTGTTTAAACAGAGCGGTTGGTAGAAATAACATTATATTTGGTCATTTAGGATTCTACGCATTTGATTGAAATTGAAAATATGTTTTACTTTTATTATGCAAGTAATACACGCCCAAGGCAGAATAGCAGACCACACAACTAAGTAAGTTAAGGAAATTAAAATCAGTRATTAAATACATTAAATTTTTCCCTCTCCCATAGTATTTATGTTTTAAATTAGGACTAAAATTCTAATTAGTGAAAAATTGCAGACCGCCGTATTTATTTGACGTGCTGCTGTGCGGGKGTTGCAATTACTCAAATAGCAGCTTTGAGGGAAAGCGTGGGAGAAGCCTGAGCTCTGTCTCTGCGCATGCCTGGCTTCAGATCTCGGCTGTGAGTAGTTGAATAACTGGGAGGAAGCGGCTCAGCTTTTCTGAGCCTCAGTTTCTCCCTCTGAAAATGAGATTAAAATACCTGCTCTGTGGCATATTCTTGAGAATTCAATGAGTTTAAAAAAGTGTTTGGCATTCTCCACAGAGCAAATATTTGAGAATATTAATTTTCCTTTCCTTCAGGGGGGGATAAAATTGTTAGCTGGACCTTCTTTTATTTGGTTAGTACTCCATGTGTTGTTTTCAGATAGTAATTTTGAACCTACTGCTTATTGTTGGTACTGGAGTTAGCTTTTTAACGATATCTGATGAGGAGCTGGGCGAGGCTGTGCAAACCTGTAATCCTAGCAGCTCGGGAGACTGAGGCAGGAGGATCTCGAGTTCAAAGCCAGCCTCAGCAACTTAGTGAGTCCCTAAGCAACTCAGAGAGACCCTGTCTCTAGATAAAAATACAAAATAGGGCTGGGGATGTGGCTCAGTGGTCAAGTTCCCCTTAGTTAAATCTCTAGTAGCCTGCCTCCCAAGTCAAATAAGAATAGATTTTTTTTTTAAAAAAAGATATTTGATGAGGGCTTTCTTTTGAGAAGTGAAGAAACCTCTTACTATATGATGAGGACAATCTGCCCACTTTAATACAATGAAATGTTGCATTTTGCTTCAATTAAAAAATGGTTATGACTGTTCAATATTAAAACACTGTACCCAACTGTCCATTCAACGTTTCAAAAACAAGGCATGAAAACCGCTGGTAAATTGCTGGGGAACTAGAAGCCAATTCATTCAAAGGTATTTCAACAGGTCTGGAATGACCAAGAGACCCCTAGGCTCTCACTGAGACCCCTCAGTGCTTCATGCATTTCCTAGTGGTGCAATGGTAAGAGGCAAACAATCTGATACCTGGTAAATGTTTTCTTCTGTTTCRGGATCACGGATTGGCTCGTGTCCAGCCTCAAACACAATGTACTATTACAGGAGCCGCCAGAGAGGAAAGGTCAGAGGTGAAAAAGAAAGAGGAAAAAAAAAGCATTTGGAATTCAACATACAAATCACAGTAAGCATTCAAGAAACAGGCACAAGAGAAAACACCTTGAAGAAACATTTTGGGTTACTGAAATAAAATGGTCTTGTGCATTCTGGACTTTTAAAAGGAAAACCGTGCAGATCTGTTGATCAGTCCTTCAGCAATGATAGCTCTAGGCCCCTGAAGATGCAACCTCTTTGTTCAATGGCATTGGACTCAGTATTAGCTGAATACACTGGCACTGCTATCTAATGGGAATGCCTAAGACCCTGACTTTGCAAATCTTGTTATGGTTGAGTCGCCTTCCACTGCTCACTGGACACCCAAGGTCTTTGGTCAAACTCTGAAGAGCTCAAAAGCTCCAGACTCCCTTGTCTTATAGATATCACCATGTTCTACATTCTCCATTTTAAACATTGAACAATGATTTTTTTTTTCCATGCACATGTTTTAGATTCTAAAGGACCASGACATTTCAAAGAGAATCCTCTTCTTCATTCTTTGTAAACAGAGGCTAAAGCTCACATTATAAACAACTCCTCTCCTCAGCAGTTAAAAGCCAGGGCATGTGATGAAGTGCCCCTTTAACTTTTGCTTGTCATATATATATATACTAGGAACCTTTTCTGACTCAAGTTATCAGTATTATTTTACTTTATCATAGCAGTACCAGCTTTCTGTGTGAAAATATGCATTAATATACCAAGCATAGGCAATATGCACCTACATCACACCTCTGTATCCCCGTTAGAAATGCAAATTGGAGTTTCTTTATGTTTCAAAAGTCAGTTTTTTTTTTTAATCTTCTTTCTCGATTTAGGAACAAACTTAATGGAGGAAGAAGCCACCTATTCCCTTTTTTACTGCATCGCTGTTTGCATAGAGCTCAGACATGAACCCAAGAGAGGTCATCTCTACCCACCCCTGGGCTGCAGACCATGAAGAGGGTGCAGAGGAAGCTCCAGGCAGAGACGTCTCTGGCATCTCTCTCGCTGTCCTCACGACAGCCCCTGTGACATGAGCAAGGTGATCAGAGGCCCAGGCTGCCCCACTGGGGGGTCAGAAACACTTCTCTTCATAATTGCTACAATTCATAAACCATTCTCTGGGTTGGTGCTCAAATGTCACCCAAACATCAGTCCCCCTCTCTAATTCTCAACTCAGAGAACTACCTCATTATTCATTTTCTCTCTAAAGCACTTAGAATATTCAACAGATTCTTAAAAACATTCAGCTTTGGGATCAAACTCTTACAGATTGTGGAGGGGGCTGAGGCAGGGGGAAGAGGGAGGAGCGTATCTCCAAATCCCATGTTCCTGGGGCTGGCCAAACTTCTGCTAGGATTTATGGAAATTTCCTCCTGGAGGGGCTGGCAGCCCTTGCCCTCAGAAATAATCTTGGTCCCTCTCCAGGTTCGACAGTCAGTGCATTCAAGTTTCTGACAAAGTGGSTGCACCACAGGCAAAGCCCCTGTAGAACCTAAAACTCCGACTCGTAGCAGAATTTACCTGGTACACAGGATCTTCAACATCCTCTTCCAAAATTGTCTATCACAGTGAGGGGAAGGAGGGCAAAAAGCAGAGGGCATAAAGAAAAAGACGTGAGATTGTATTCAGAAATTACAGGACAGCAGAGAAACCAGCTCTGGGTAGGATATACTGGTGGATCATTAAYGTAGAAAACACAGAGAAAACGGCAGAACTCCAAAGCCCCCTCCCCACCCCACCCCACCCACTTCTTTAACAACAAATAGTAAAAGCAACTGTGGGTCTTTTGTCCTCTTCCCCTGAAATCCTCCTCTGGATTAAAGATTTCACTTTCTCTAACACATCTTGAGTTTCAGAGAATAAGGGATCATTTCTAACGGCTGGCATTGGGTGACTGTAATTTACGCAGGAACCTTTCATCTTTGTTTATTTCTGCTTGGCAGCAGCAGAAGGCCTGGCTGTCAGTTTTCACTTCRGTTTATTTTAAGCCCCAATCTTCTCCAGCATCAGGACAAACTCATAGGTGTACCTGGTACACGGCTTGCTCACACTGCTTATCTTTTTGTGCCTTCTTTTCCAATTCTTCTCTTTGCTTCAATTCGTAAATGAGTTGAAAGAGATCTCTCAAGTCCAGAATAACAGGTTCAGCCTGGAGTGAAAGTGGTAAGCGCGTTAACAAGGGATCCATACTGAGCTGCAAGCCACCAATTTTTGTTTTTGTGGCTACGACCCGCAGCGCTTCATTTTTCTATTAAACTGAAAGCATTCCATTTTTAATTAATTCTACCTTGTTTATATTGGTTTAGCAAATTGCATATAGGCTAAAGTTCATTTCTTCAGCTCATTATATTTGCAAATTCATAATAATCATAAGCATAAAAGGCACTGCTTTTATTTATTAGTGAATTCGAATATAATAAAATTAGGGCAGACCTTATGCAAAACAGTTATTTGTTTTCTCTTATTTTCTTTATAAAATAGGCTATGAACACAAGCAAGCTTACTTATATGCATGCCTCTACCTAGCTTAATCAGAAAGGAAAATAATTAGTCATTAGGAAATACCCATTAGGAAAAAAATAAAATAAAATTACTGAATGGGTATGAGTTAGAGTTCTTGCTCCAAGGCTATTCTTCTAGGTGGGCATCTGAGGATCAGCTTCTGGTGGTGACTCATCACTTGGTCACACAGCAGAGTAGATTTTAGAAAAGCAACAGGGTGGATGCTGTGGTCCCCCAGAGCTGCCAAGAAGGACACTGGGCTGGGACAGGAATACTTACCGCCTGGGCTGTTTTTATGGCCACAAATCTGTGATTCCCTTCCTTCCCACAAACGTATCCAAAGGCCCGGTGGTCTGTGATGTCCTTTGCGATGTAGGAAATTTCATGAACAGCATGATGATGCTGAAGGGCCTATCAGAAACAAAACAAAGATCACATTTCAGGGAAATTTCCCTTCAAGTTGTTGATTGGTAAGAGAGGCCCTTCAGCTAGRTGTGAGCAGGCCCAGAGGGCTTTGGAAAAGCTGTGTGGTCCAGACAGAAGGAAAAAGACCTGTCTATCCTTGGGCGATGGAGGTCCTCCTTCATGGTCTCAATGTTGTGACCAGAGAGAGAAGCAGGAATGTGCATGTGCTGAATGAGCATTGGTGGGGATGATGTCACCCTGTCTAATTCAGTGGCTATGCTTCTGCTGAGCTGTCTTTGCAATGCAGCCCAGTCAGACCTTCAGTTTGGTGGTTAACGCTTGCAAACCTTGGCTTCTGCATGGTGTGGCAGAGGATGTACCTGAATGATCCCGGGGGTACCATTAATATTCATAGCTGTAGCTTTGCATGGCTACGGCACTTTCCTGGATGTTGGTGATATACTGTTGAGGAGTAGATATTTTTTTTTTTTCTTTATCTAAAGTCACCATTTGGGATAGAGGTAGGGTTGTGTATAGGTTGATCTTTGCAAATTTCTTTTACCTACCTACCCAAGTCCTCATTCTCTTTCAATGGCCACTTGAAATGGTACCACCTCTCTATGAAAGATCCCTAAACAAGGTGAGCCTTCTCTCCCCAGCGGATAACTCCCTCCCTCTCTTGTGTTTCCACAGAACTTCAGGGAGGCTGAAACTCTTGATGGATTCCTCACACAGGAACCCCTGGGTTTCCTGCTTTTCTGGGTCATCTTGCTCTGATATGTCTACTTGACTCCTTGTCTGTCTGTCCCAGCAGACTCTCTCTTCCTGGTATCTGTCATGCTAGTAACCATAGCTGTGGAACTAAAGTAAACTGGGATTGACGATCAATAATTTGAAATTCTTTTGAAATTGACCTTCCTGACTTTATTACTTGAGCCTCAACAAACAATGTTCACCATCCTGTTAGGTGATGGTAATCTTTATGGTTATTTTCCTAGATTAAATCTTTTAGAGCAATCTTTATTAAATAGTACCATATAAAAGCTTAGAGATGCTTTTGGAGGCTTGTAGCATGGTAAAGCCCCTATGAAGGGGCTTTTAATTATATTGGATATCAAGATGCTTGAATGCTCACTACGGTGTGGACACAAAGCACTGACTCTCCCTCTCTGGACCTGAGTTTATTCCTTGAGCAAATGAGAAGTGTACATCACATCAAAGGCTCCTACCCCAAAGCTCTTGATCAACAGGGCTTATTAAAGGCAATAAAAAGAAGCCCCAAGCAAATTTCAGAAACTCAAAAGGATGAACAGAAATTTATAATGATTCCTAATAAGGCTACAGATTTCTTTGTGCATGCAAATAAAAACAAGTGTATCTGGAATTATATCTCCTTATTGTTGGTTATATTTCTTAGCTCAAGTTTGCAAAATTATAGTTTAAATAGTCAAAGTAGGAAAATTAATGCTTTAAATGCAGTTTTCTGGGGAACAAAATCTTTCCCATTACTGAATTCTAGAAGGGAGGGAGAAATGTAACCCTAAGGAAGTTAGTTATGAAAACACTGGGAACCACCAGAGGAGACAGGAAAGATTCTGTAGGGTCCTGTTTCATCTCCCCATATCCTTTAAGCTATTAGGAGCTCCTTCCTTAAAGCCAGCTTCTGGGTGTAGGGATTCTGCCTTTCTTGATGGTCAACTCCTTAGATTTAGACCACAGACCTTCCCAAATGTCTATTCCCCCATACATTGCAATCTTAGTGGGCTTCGGACCACATGGGCCATCTGCTGTAGCAGAAATGCCTGCCTTTGCCTTAACTGTCCAGGTCCTGAATGTTTTTCACCTCACCCACTCTTCTTAGAACTCTTTGCTTGACTTCATATGTAGTGGCACCCCTTTCTCCACAGAAAATCTTAACTAAGCTTCTCCAGAAATCTTCACCATAATCGATTTTAGGACTATCAGCAAAAAAGTCTCTACAAAAGAGTTCAATGTAGGTAAACTTACTCTTTCCCTGTTGCTCTATTTTACTTGGCCAGTGGCCTGGAAGAAATCAGCACTCCAGGTGCAGAATGCCCCTTTACTAGTTTTTCACAAACATTTATCCAGTATAGTAGTTTGTAGAAGTATGTTTGCAAATGCAAAATGTGATTTTAAAAAAAGACAAATCCTTCAACAAGGCCCTCTGGCCTTGAGCTGGGGCTTCACAGAGATGTCTACATTTCTAAGAAAAGAAATGTTACCAATTGGGCGCCATGGTAACAGCTGGCAGGGGGAGGAAGGAAAGTGGGGAAGCTCTCCCCTTCTCAGGTGTTGAAGGGTTAACTTGCCCAGAACAGTGAAAGAAAAAGCTGCTTTTATGTGAACTTCTGCAGACTGAACTTCTGAGCCCTTTTCCTTACATGCTGGGTATAAAGTTCTGAAACTACCTGAACTTGGGGTTCAGGAAATTAATGGATTACAGTGAAAGCTGTGCCCTCTGAACTTGGCTGCAGCCAAATACAACTGTTTCCTGCTTTCTTCGGTGCCCTGCCTTGTCTGTCCCCTACAACACATACACGGGGTTGCCCACTGGACATCACTCTTACAGGGTAGGTACTGACACTATCCCATCACCCTAGTCCCTCAAGTGACAATAAGATGAGTGTATAATTCTAACAAACTTTGACACAAACAAAGCTGGTGAAGGAGGAAGCATTTTGTTAGCAAAATAATCAGGATCTGCTTATTTTTTGTTTTATCCAGAGGACATATTTAGCTGGTAGAGGAAAACTGTTCCAAGAGCAGTAGCTTTTTCATGGTGCTAATGATGTAAAATTGATGAGATTTATATTCACACACCATGGGGGCATTGATTTATAAGCTTTTGTGAGCTACTATGGTATGTGGCAGCGGGAAGTGAGGGACAAAGACTTTCTTTTCATCTCTCCCTTTCCTGAAAGTATTTCTCACTGCATAATGTGGAAAATGTTATCCACGTCTCCTATTAAATCAAAGTTTGACGACAGTGCCTTATTGATTGCCAAGTGGAATATTGCTCTAAAATTAAACTGTGATTAGAAGCCTTCCTGGTGGAATTAGATTTACAGATGATTCTGCAATGGTAAAATATCACCTACTATGCAAGACAGCAGATGGAGATGTTTTAATTTATCTGGGAATCCTCATTAAGTGTTTTAAAATAAAAACATTTTTAATGCCTGATGATACCTAATATTGCCTTGCGAAGTGTAGCTGTGGGTGTGGATGCGTGAAGTGCTTAAAGATATTTGTAACATTATCTCTTCCCATAGTTAATTTTATGACATGTTTAAAAGGATTGCTCTGCAAGTGTCTCATTCATTCGGAAAGCAACAGTCAGTGAAGGGATATGTCTTCACTTTCTCTGACCTTAACCATGCAGACATAATATAGATGCTTGGAAATACAAATACACTCGAATTYTGCTCATCCCACAGTTGTATTATCGCATTCATTTTAGCAACTCAAAGCATTGTGCAAATACTTGTTCACTGAGCCTCAAAATTGCCCCATGTCTTCAAGAAGATTGTATCAGCACAATCAAAGAACAGTTGGAGCCAGAAGGAGCATTCAGTGTTACATAGTTCAATTCTTGACTTTACTTATGACTGAACGGAGGGCCAGAGAATGTACTGGCAGAACCAGAACCAAATCCAGGCCTTTTCTTTCCTACTCAGGAAGACAATACAGGAAGGAAATGCAATTGTATAGAATCGAGGCCTCCTTTCCCCAGACTCCTAGTCCAACAACAGAGATGATCCCCTGACCAGTAGGGACAGGGAAGGAGAACAGGGAGAAATGGGCCACAGGTAGAAGAGGCTGCTGAGGATTTCAGCAGGCATCTGAGGTCCAGGAGAGTCTTACATATGAAGGTTTAGGGTAAAGGTCTACAGGTGGCTTAAAGAGCAAGTTAAGGTTGTATGGCCCATAAGTTTACCTCTAGTTCCCAAGAGGGATTCCAGGTTATGCTGTATTGACCTCTTTCTTTCAGTGATACCTGCTGAGCAGCCAAGGCCCAAAAGGAGATTTATCATGGGAGATTAGGCCATGGAGGAGTGCTTCCACAGGGAGTCCTAGAGCCTGGCAGGCTGTTCTGGAGGTGGTGAAGGCAGGAGAGCCAGAAGCAGAGCAGGACAGGAGAGAAGAAAGGCAAACTTTGGTATGTTTCTTGTTGAAAACAGTTTCTTGTTGAAAAACAGTCTGGATATTAAAATACTATAAAAAATTAAAGCAGGTAATCCCAGTGACTCAGGATGCTGAGGCAGGAGGATCACAGGTTCAAGGTGAGCCTTGGCAATTAAAAGGAATAGGATATAGATCAGTGGTAGAGAGCCTCTGGGTTCAATCCCCAGTACTAAAAAAGGAATGGCGGAGTGGGTATGGGAGACAGACAGACAGACCRCAGTGTTGCAGTGTTACTTATTCCTGTTCTGAGTCCTCCTGCTTACACTGTAAGATAAAAGTTGCCACCAAAGAATTAAAGAATTCCAAAGACCATCCAGGCATTCAGTCTGACCTCCCTCCCACATGTGGACTTCTGGTAACCTGCACTGCAAATAACTTGAGGAGCTCTCTGGGTTTGCACCTGCCCACCCTGCCCTCCTCCCTCTTGTCCCGTGTTTCCCTATCTATACGCATAACCATACCACACACACATCTGTGTCATACCTAGGCTCCAAGGCTTAGCTTCCACATCCTGCTCAGCCAGGAACCCTCCCAATCCCCTGCAGTAATAACTCTCATTCCTCGAGCCTATGGCATGTGCTTGTCCTTCTAGGTATGATGTTTTGCCTTTCTTAAATTCGTTTCAGATTTATCCACTCATCCAGTCGCTCATGTCGTATGTATCCACTAAGGGCCTATTATGTTCCAGGCCCTGTGCTGTGTGTTGCATCTATACAGAGACTTGAAACATAGCCCCTTCCTCAGGAAGCATGCACTCTTCCAAGATAGGCAGGCAATGAAACTGGCACCCACAATGTAAC